GGAGACAGCTACTATTCGACAATACATATTTCTTGACCGCTGTTGTCTGTTAGACTGTCTAATTTTTGCTTAGTCAAACACCACGGCCATTGACAATATTTATGTACATTGCTAGGTGCATTAATGAGGACAAATTGGCTCTTCCATCTAATAATTGATGGGTCGAGGAAGATAATATGTCGGGGCTAATGTAGGGATTCATGGAAACGACTCAAATTTCCAAGTGAGATTAGTCCAACTGAATATAATAATAGATCAGATTGGGGAAAACTTGTCCAAAAAGTCCTAAACCTATTGCATTTTTGTCAATTCAGTCCTAAACCTTTTAATTTAGTCCATTGAGTCCTAAACATTTTCACTTCTTGCTAATTGAGTCTATCCGATCAATTTTGGCCAGAAATTGCTGAAGTGGACGTTGACCAACATATATGGCGTTGGCATGGACACTCTTTAATAATATTTTAATATTTTTTGAATTTTAGTTTTTTTTTTCTTTTTTTTTCTTCTCCTTCTCCTCCTCCAGCCGATCGCCGAGTCTTGGCAATCAGTAAGAGGCGAGGGTTGGTGAGGTCGACCTCGCCGGCCTCGGGCGAGCCTCTCCCCCATTGGCCCCTGGCGAGGACGAGTGCGAGGCTTGACCTAGCGAGGCCAAACTCACCTAGCCATGGCGAGATCGAGCCTCACCCAAGGCTCGGCGACTAGCTGGAGGAGGAAGAAGTGGAGGAAAAAAAAGGAAAAAGAATAGAAAAGAAAAATTAAAATTAAAATTCAAAAAATATTATTAAAATTGTCCACGTCAGCACCACGCAGGCCAGCCGATATTCATGTCAGCAATTTCCGATCAAAATTGGTCGGATAATCTCAATTGACAAGAAGTGAAAAGGTCTAGGACTCAATCAATAAAATTGAAAGATCTAGGATTGAAAATTGACAAAAATGTAATAGGTTCAGGATATTTTTGACAATTTTCCCGTCAGATTAGACTCTTTCTTCTTTTCATTTTCGTCGTGTCGGGTATTAAACTTCTGTTGTCTTTTCATACAAAATACACAAAATAGGATGGGGGCCAGATGAAATGTTACCTCATAGGAAAACGAACATGGAGAAATTAGATCTTCAACAAACTGCCACATCATTTTCATCTAATACATCTAAGGGAAAAACACTGAAGGGACGAAATCCCAAGTCAAATTCAAATAGTATGATATAAATATAAATACTTCGTCCGCATTTATTATTTTTCAACATATAATACCGTCACCACCCTATAGTTTTTCATTATGGGGCAGGCGTGTACGGGCGACAAGACTTCTCCAAGCAAATAATTGAGGAATTTATCATAAAGAATTAAGTAGGAGGCTGGTGGTGCTAGTGTCCTTAGCAGAGAAAGAAACAAGGGCCGAGGAAGAAGGACAACCCCTTTTGGTTTTTGGTTCTTCTTTTGCATTTAATGGATAATTAAAGCTTTGAAAATTTTGGCTTTCTTATGTTCCTAAACGCTCACATTTTAAGTGGATAAGAGCAAGCTGCTACCTCATAAAGAAGGTTGCTTTTTATAATTGTGTGCATGATTAAAAGTCTTTATAGATCCACAAACCCCAAATCCCACTTTTGGTCCATATCGGAGTGAAAAGAGCTGAGAGAGAGAGAGAGAGGGAAAAAGGGAGGATTGTGGATGGGGAAAGTTTAGAAAGAATGAGTAAGATTAGGTGCGTGTGGGGGAAAGGGGAAAGTACTCATTCTTAATTTAATGCATTCACTAGGAGGGAAGGTCTTGCATTATCTTCTTGACTAAATCGCTGTATCGTGTTATGAATTCTTTAGATTATCTTTTATTGTGACGAGGTTGAGTTTGGAGATGCAAGCCTCATTATGTTTTGCACTTTTAACATTCCTGAGAGTGAGATTTCGAATGCACCGGACTAGTGTGGGGATAATACTTGACATGTAACGTGCTTGTACTGGAAATTAGAGAAATGAAGGAATGGTACGAGTTAAATGAAACCAATGGGAAGACGCAGAATTAAGGGGAAATCAAATGCCAAACACTGGGAATGAAATCACCGGAACATAAACATCACTGGGTTGAGATCAGAATGAAAGCTACAGACACTTCACGTTCGTATCGAAACATTTAAACGAATAATATATATCAATATTCACAACACAAATTATAAATTATAAATTATAAATTACAAATTTGACTCTAAAGCAAAAATCGAAATAGAAAGACATTGCTTCGAAATGAAAAGCTTTGGAGGAAATTTTTTGTAATTACTCAAGCCCTCGTGCATCCTACATCAACTGTCGTTTCGCATTCAAGCCCCTTCTTTCTACCCTTTGGTCAAGGCATCCGTCAGTAGGCTTCAGCTGGAGCTTGAGCTAGACATGTCTTGTCTCCCTCCCCTCACCATCTTCTTACTCGGCTCAAATGCTCGGCTGAATTCGACCTAACTTTTGGGCCGTGATCTTAAACATGCTGGTTGGAATCGGCGCTATCGCTAAAACCCCCTCACCAGGGGTCCGTCACAAGGAACACGTGCATGACAATCGAGTTTAGATTATCAAATACACTACGGGTGTGACATTTTAAGTTCCATGTCAAATGAGGAATGACCCTTTTAAGTGATTCATAAGATCCATTTCCAAATAGTTACAATATCGAGCAATTACTTCAAGCACTTCTCTTGTAAACCTAGCCTTTGCGGAACTGGTAGGGTATTATCAACATGCCCATAGAATATACCAATAACCTCATTTTTTTTTTGGTAGGAATGCCGATAACCTCATTGATCATATAAGATAGTGGTCAAAATCTCGATGGATGAAACATGCAAGAGATTTTTCTAGCCGGATGTCGATAACCTCATTGACCAGATAAGACACTAAATCTCGATGGATGAAACATACAAGAGATTTTTCTTGTCGGATGAAGCAAGGAATCAAACTCATGTCACACGATGACTACTTCTCACATAAACAATCGCATCAAACCAACTTAGGCCGTTCGAATATCGGTAACTCGTCTGATGAGACAGGAGAGAGATACAAAAATTTCTCGTACAAGCAAGTGCCAAGTAAAGTAGTGATCACAAGTGTTGCTCCACGATCATCAATGGAATGATGAAGGCTACTAGCTTTTTTGACTCCATGATAGCTACGTCATGAATCATGATATAGCTAAAGCAAGAAAGAACAGTGACCTTTGGGAACAGCTGAGTGATTATTTGCATGCAGAATGCTCGACCCATTTCGAGGAATATGTGCGTAACTCTTGATGCTGGTTTCCCATACGAAGCTGCCTGTCGTGGTCTATTGCTATTTTGTAATGCAACTCAATCTCACTGCTTTGGGAAATTGTGCCTACACGTATCGGTTACTCTGAGGGAGAATTACCAAAGAAAGTCTTAAATTTAGCGTTCCGTGGTAAATTCAATTTTGAACCTTTCAATTTTGCTAATTTAATCTTACACTTTTTGATGATTTGCCAATGTAATCATTTCGGCTAATTTTGGCCGAAAATTACTGACGTGGATGCCGGCCGTCCTACGTGGCACAATTGACGCTGATGTAGACAATTTTTGTAAATTTTTTTGAATTTTTATTATTTATTTTCCTTTTCCTTTTCCCTCTCTCTCTCTCTCTTTTTTTACTCCAGGCCCAAACCCAAATCCAGGAGAAGGCCACGACGCCCTCATCTGTGGCCGATAAGGGTCGACCATGATGCCCTCGTCTGTGGCAGGCAAGGGTCGGCAGATGACCGGCCCAAAATTGGAAAGAAAAAAAAAGAGCAAAGAAAATAAAAGAAGTATTAAAAAAAGTTTAAAAAATTGCAAAAATTGTCCACGTCAACGCTGACCGTGTCGACCATGCCACGTAGGACGGTCGGCATTCACGTCAACAATTTTCCAACAAAAAATTGCCAAAAAGACTACATTGACATTTGGACAATAAGAAGGAAAAGAAAATCTCGACATCCAACATGGCATTCCGCGAAACCTCTCGAAGTCGGCGTAATTCGATTAGAGCATTTGGAGATTTTTAGCTTAAGAATTGAAAGTCACGTGTTCAAATCCCACTAATCACGTACAAATTGCTCTGCGTCCATGCTACATACATAGGACAAATGCCTGGATCTAATCAGATTATAGAATTTGTGAGGTGTTTCGTGAGCTTCTACATAGTTGGTTCTGTACCCATCTCCCTGGATTGTCCAAAGAAATAATAGCATGCGTTCGGCACATATTCAAGACTACAAGCATATGTACTTCGCACTTTTCGATCGACAAATACTGCACAGACAATAGATTCATCGCCCAAATGATAAGGCAGACAAAACCAATCGAAGAACATATCTCGCCGTACCGTTCGAAGCTATCTGCGTACGGACAAATCAACGCTCGATTTGATTTGGCCACACCCTGATAGAGCCTTCTCACTTGAATTCCTATTACCTGCACATGCCAATCAATCATGCTTGTAATTCAGTCCAGACACAAACAGGTCCCGACCGGTTGGTGCTTAGTCCTAATCAAAGCCAAAGTTTCATCTTCGACCGGCTCGGGGTTGTCCAACTAAGACATTATTCAACAATGGGGATGAGGTCTCTTAAAATCTATTCGAGACTCACCAATGACCATGGAGCCAAAGTTAAAGTGGGCAATTAATCAAATTAATTAATACACTAATCAATGCGAAAATAATTTGGTTAAAAAAAAAAAAGAGGGTGGGCGGATCTTCAAAGGGTCGCTTTCTCGCCATCGCCAACTTTTGTCCCTTTGCCCCTAGCCCCCTATGGCATCGCTCTAGAGTGCGCGCCTCTCTGGCCTTGCAGCAGTGGGAAAAATCAGACACACCCAAGACCCAACAGCTCATCTGGAGGGCAATTCCGTAATTTGGTCGTGCCAATTATGCGATAAACCTTTGATTGTAATACCTATCTTTCTCGATGATTATGAGCTGTTAATTTCTGTCTCGTAATTATGCGATCATCACCGGTCTGCATGAAAATCACCATGATGATTATATGACTGTGCGAGAGAGAAAAGTACACAAGTCTTCATAGCAGCAGCGACCGACCGACCGACCGACCGACCTAAAATTGTCAGAAATAAAGCTAACTTAATTACGAAAGAAACTCTCTCCTCGAAATTTTCTTTTTTGCCTTCTTTTCTTTTCATGTACTCGCGGCCCTTCAAATTCAACATATTAACAATTTACTCTTGTTTTTCTAGGGCCGTCACGAACGAGCGGCGACCGAGCGGAAGCCGAGAACGGCGGCGTCCTCCTCCGCCATGATCTCCTCCCTGTGGAACCACTTCGTCTTCGCAATGTATTTCTCCACCGTCAGGTTGAACTCCTCGTTGCTCAGGTCCTCCACCGACGGCGGCCTGGGCCGCCCGTTGTCCGTCGCCGACCGGCGCAGCTCCGCCCGCGGCTTCCCCTCCTCCTCCTCCTCCTCCTCCTCCTCCCCCCCGGTCACCTCCGACCGCGTCCTCCGGTAGCGCTTCTCCGCCGCCGCCGCGGGGCGGGCCGGAGGGGCCGCCCCCGGGCCGAGTTCTCCCTCGGCCGCGCCCTTCTCGACGGCTGGGACGACGGTCGACGGCAGGGGGTCGGGCTCCGGCGCGGGAAGCGGCACTTCCCTTATGATTTTCTCATGCGCCGGGGGGGCTTCGTACGGGACGATTTGCTTGTCCACATGGGTCTCGTCCGGCGCCGCCATCGTCCCCAGGTATCCTCCGCCGGGGGCCCTTCGCGCGGAGAGGTACTCTTCGTAGATGTGAGACGGCTCGTGGCGGTGGCCGCGGTCGTCGTTCTTCCCGGCCAAGAAGAGGATGACCCCGATGATGCCGTTGCTGATGAGGAAGACGACGAGGGGCTTCGCGAGGAGGCTGGCGAGGCGGCGGAGGAAGCCCCCCGCGGCGGCCGAGAGCCCGGAGGAGTACCAGGAGAGCAGGAGCAGGGCGGCGAGGACCTCGAGGGCGTGGGCGAGGGTCTTGAGCTTCCGGCTCCTCCGGTACCTGCGCATGGCCTTGGCTTTCTCGGCCTTGACGCTGTCGAACTCGTGGGACGATGGGGAGTCCATGTCCTTTTTCTCGAGAAAGCGCAAGAAAGCGAGGAAGAGAGCGAGGTAAAGATGAAGGGTGTGACACGAAGGATTTCTTCTACGAGGAAAGGGGCTCAGAGAGTGGGATCAGAGCAGTGCATTTATGGTACGAAGAAGGAAGAAGGGGTTCTCCTCTGATACACAGCATCTGTGCTCAAGCAGCAGTTTCTATTTCGAGTGCTTGCTTGCTTGCTGTGGGTTTAGAGAGAGAGAGAGAGAGAGCGAGAGAGAAAGAGTGATGGGTTTTCTGTGGATCTGGTGGTGGGCTTATATAATAGGGAGTGGGGAAGAAGGTTCATAAAGTTGGTGTTCTAAAACTTTTATTTCATTTATTTTATGTACCTATGTGTTTTGATAGGAGGGTTTGGATAAAGAAGATATTAGGTGAGGGAGATGCTACATTCTAATGTGGTAAGAGAATGTACTCAATTGATAGGACTCGCAATTTGTCCCAAACAGAATTCAAAATGAACCTCTATCCCTTCGGAAGACGCTAAGTATGCTAAAATTTAACATGTCAAATCTTTTCTCGAAATAATATGACCAATTAAAGTAAGCATTTAAATATATATGGACCACATTCAACGTTCAATTACGGTCTGTCACATCACTCTGTAAATCAGTTTTCATAGAGTCAGCGTCTCTCGATGGTCTTTTTTTGCTCTCGAATCCGTTTGAGACTTAGTTTAGTAGACTAAACCTATCGAACGTGAAGAAGCCAATAAGATGCACACTTGGTATGCAGAAACAGGAAGGAAAAAAAAAAAAAAGCAAGCTTTCGGGTTATCTTCGCATGTTGGCCGATCGATTTTAGCCATCGGACCATTCTATATGTCTTCTCGTTCTATTTGACAATGGCAACAGGAAGTTAGGAACTCTATGAACAACACCCTACTGACATCAACTGCAGCAATCTCTTATATCATGCAAATTGGGCTTCGTGTGGTCTTGAAGATGAATCCGAGAAACTCCAATGATCGGCTCTTTTCTTTATCGCTTTAAGGACTCGGGTCAATAGAATCTTTGCGTTGGAACGACCACCCCCACGCACGGGTCAAGTAGGTGTGCAGTGCGGGGGATTGACGTCTCGGGCACGTCCCGCTCTAGTTTGCTGTTCGTTCCTGACCAAGTCTCAGCTACGCCTCTTTGACCATCTCTCTCTCTCTCTCTCTCTCTCTCTCTCTCTCTCGTGCGCCTTTTAGCTCCAAGATCACCGTCTCCTCCTGGTGTGGTTGCAACAGTCTTTTACTGGGTCTTCTTTGGTCCATCGAAAGCACGCACATTTCGTACCGTAATGTTCAAATGACGAGCCCTTATCGTGAAGGGTCTTCATGTCTACGTACCGAGCATGCGATGCGACCAAGAACTGCATGAAGGGATCGTAGGAAACGATTCACGCCGCTGTCTCCAACATCGAATCATATGCGCTCTGTCTCCTTCATTTCTGTTGGCTTTCACGATGAGCTTCCCTTTTTGCGATCTGTTGTTTCGAGGGAAACGTGGAGCCCATCTTGTCTTTATTATTTTTTGGGATCGTTGGCTGAATTCTGGTTGTAATCATGAAGAATAAAGTGCTCGCTTTCGTTTATTCATTCTTTATCGCAGGGCATCATAATTGCAAAATCCTAGCGCAAGGAAGAAATGAAAGAAAGAACTTTAGCTCTAGAGAGGATTGGAGACTGGAGGGTAAGTCCAATTAGAGCTGTTCTCTAGACTTGCAGTACTACGCACCGCACAGGACGCACACGGAAGAGACAGAGAGCATAGACTATTAGGCAGTCGACAAAGCAAAACACATCATCCATCACTAGCGACTCCCTTTAGCATTTCACATATTGGTTCTCCCTGTTTGATGCGCTTATATTGTCAAGAAGCTATGCTCTTATAGAAATCGGTAATCATCAATTGCCGGGTCAGATCGTAGAAACCTTGCGATAATTCGATTGATAAGGGTTCCTTATTTGTTCACACGAATGCTAGCTAAAGATTACTCTCTCTCTCTCTCTCTCTCTCTCTCTCTCTCTCTCTCTCATGCATGCGTGGAAACATTACTTTTCATCAGCACTATACGAAACGAAAACTCAACTTGGATAACGAAAATCGCCCTCAAACGTAATCTGCTTTGCTCGAGCATGGGCACACGTGAATTGGACCATGACAATAGATGTGTTCGGTGTTCCTGTGTTACTTCTCTCTGCCTTCTCCTTCATGAACAAACTAAGGCCTCGTTGGCTCGCCATTGAAATTGAATTATTCATGGAATGAGAATCTTGATGCTACGATTTCAGAGTGTGATGTCGGCAAGCACGGAAATTTGAGTGATGGGATTGTCATTAAATGTACCCGAACTATTCCTGATCGGCCATTTGCTCATTTAAGAGAAAGAGCCAAAAGGTGAAGGAATGTAGCAGGAAAAGGTGTGGATGCTCCCAATAACGTCAACGTGAACCCTGCAAATTGGCCTTGTTTCCATGGGAGGCTCATGACTAATTCCCCTAAAAAGGACGCGAGAAGTTGAAAGTTGGAAAAGGAGACAAATCACGATTGATTCATCAGCACTTGGGCTTTGATCCGATGAAACGAATGAAACCTTCATTAATGGCTTCAATTCCTCCTATGTTCACTCAAACAAAAGCAATCTCTCCCACAAGAAAGATGCCAAAGAAGCAAAATATGCAGGACTGGTTTTTGTACCGCAGATACTCCGGAACACGTGACCCTTCTGAAACCAACTGTCCTAAAGCAAGCAACTTTCTGGCAGTAATTTCAAGAGGAAGATGACCCCATTGAATCCCACATTCCACTTTTAGTTTCTTCTTCAAACAGGAGGATTATATGGCAGAGAGAGAGAGAGAAAGAGTGAGAGTTAAAAAAGAAGAGAAAAGGAACAAAAGAGCTAGAGAAAAAGAAGGCGCCAGACACGGGAAGTGGACTGTCCTCCATTGATTTGCATAAAGTAGGGTAAAGTTTTGCTCCATAATCTTATATTTTATGCTGTGTAAAGGAAAAATGGGGTGCCTATGTTTTTGACATGGGCAACATTGGATGGTGGTGATCGAAAAGAGAAGGCAAAAGTTAATATAGTAAGTTGGTAGATGAGCAGTTGGAGTCATTAACTTCATCTACCTTTGGCTTATTTTTATTGAGGGTTTTGTCATGACATATTTGAGGTAATAATTTAGCTGAACTGAAGTCTCAAACCAAGTTTAGTGCGGTACGAGAGTGTGACTAGGGGTGAGCAAAACATCCAGATTCAATTCGGAAAAATTGGCTTCGCTAAACGGGATAGGTTCTCAATATAAAAAATTGGGACCTGATAAAGTTCGATTCGGCTCCCGGATTGATGGCGGAACCCGCAAGCGATCTACTCGGAAGCCGGATCGACTAGGTTAGTGCTAGCAACGAATCGGTTTTGAACCGGTCAAGGAATTTTTTTTTTGGGGCCTGCTAGAAAAAATAGGGCTTAGAAATTCCAAGCCGATTTACAGGCCTAGACCGAACCGAACCAATCCTAGCCGAACCTGTTCGTGCTTAACCTAAATTTTTCTTTATGAAAATTAAAAATAGATTAATATTACCTACATTTTCATGTTTTATATATAATATATTAAAAAGAACTAGGCAATGTTTTTTTTTTTTTATATGTTACAAATCTCTTGTCTTTCTCTCTGGAGCAAAGCATAATTATGCAATCGAAGTGTGTTTTCATGTCACATGCCCTTTGCCCCTTTCCGGGTCTCATGATTACGGAGGTGATTGGATAAGCGCTAAACCACGATCGTGATATATACCGGAAGGCGCAAAGGGCGGAAAAAGCGCCCGAGCGAGCGGGCCCCGCGGGATCAAAAAAGGGCAATAATAATGTTGGCCTTCGAGATTTTATGTTTCTTGGTGGGCCCCCCACCGAAAATAAATCAATTGATATGGAGAAAAAAAAAGAGAGTAAAATAAATGGAAAAAAAAAAAAAGGGCAGACGCCGCATGAGCGATCGCGGTATCTTCCGTTTTTTATCCGAGGCGACATTGCTGCGAATTTGCGTCTCAATCATGTTCCCCCACCCCGATAATCATTTTGCTTGCCATTACCGAGCATTAATCATTATTATAGCATGCCTAAGATGCGAGTGGGAATGTTTTTTTTTTTTTGGACATGATTTGATCGAACGACGGTGAGTCGTGCCCATTTGATATATAAGAATGGCGGGCTCTACGGATGCGTTCCTTATTTTAAACGTGTCGGTACCCGTTTGTCTTTGCACCCCCAATTTCCTCCCGTATCTTTATCTCCTGTAAAGAGAGGAAATACCCTGTGAAATTTTTATGTCCCGATGATCTCGAGATCAAGACGATGACCGAGATGAAACTTTTTTAAGGACTTGCTTAGGTCCAATGTGCCTAACATGTGAACGGAATGTTTTTTGGACATGATTGATCAAACGACGGTGCTAGTGATATGACTCCATTATATACATAGCATGCGAAATTTAGAATGGTTGGGATGCATCGCTGCATTTATTTTGTCGCGTTAGGTCCAAATTTTGTCACCTCGGCTATAGATGGCAATATAGGTTTTACAACCCTTCTTTAGATTCGTTTCGTTGTCAAAGAGTCGGGTGGTATATGGATCTCTTGATTTTTTTTTTATTGCGGATCTGGATGGGTTCAGAAACTAAAGTTCGCCTAGAATTGAGCTAAAGCGGATGTGAATAACCCATTTCATTCAAAAGAGTGAAACTTGGAATTGAAAATTCTGAAATGAAAGGAAGGAGGCCATTTTTCAAAACGGGTGGAGGTTGGGTCTAGGAAGGTTCGGGTATGGGTCGCTAAAATAATATATTTCTGTTAATGGGATTTCATTAAAATATGATATTTGGGATACTTGTTATATAATCAAATGCTGAGAATTTTCAATTTAAGATGCATTGACTTTTGCTCACATGGCTTACGTTCAATCATGATCTATGTTCTCGAAGTGAGGAGGCTAAACATGTTAGGACGGACCAAGGGCATCCTCTCATTGACCCAAGTTCCATGTAAGAGATGTGAGATTCTTAGTTCTCTTTTTTGCTAACTATGGATGTTAGGAAGCCAATCTAGTTCTTAAACATAAGTATTTAAGGATTTTTGATTTTAAATTTCCCCTCCCGACTCGCGTGATAGCTCTCACCATGCAAGGACCGCACAGGCGGGATATTCGTCCCACATTGGAGAAGCA